ATTTTGTTAAAAATACATTTGATACGTGAATTTAAGAAAGGCAGACTAATATGGCAATATCCACATCCCTACAAAATAGCAGTGTAGTGTTAAAGGCAATGAGACAGGCATTCCAAATCCTCTTACTGAAGTAGCAATGTATAAATTCAATTCTTGCACATATCAGGTCTTATAACACCTTATGTAACTATTTTATACAGGTAAACAATGTTTTACATACCCCAAATCTTTTCATTCCTTTTATTCTACATATTTTCAATGGAATCAAAATAGAAGCTACTTTTAAGATAAGTAAAAAAATATGTATTTCTGTTCAAACTTTCTTCCATCCTTGTGGCAAATTTATTTGCAGTATTAACCCATCATGTATCAAAACACAGTATTATCAAAATAAACTCCCCTTTTTTAAAAGAAAAGTTACAGAATGTCCCAAAACCTATCTCCTTCCTGAAAATTATTTCAAACTGCTTGGTTTTGCACAATTATCCCTTTTTTCCAGTTACACTTTATACTCATCGCTCCCAATCTCTTGGAAGTTGAAAGCTAACTACTATAACCAATACTAATTAAGTCTTCTAGAAATATTCGTTCTCTACAGATAAAATCAAGTGAAGCTTAATTCATGCTTGTAAAGTGAACTTGGTTTATGTTGTGTTTAAATATTGAAGAGGCTGAGTTTAAATTAATGGGTACTGGGATGCTAAACACTCAAGTTCTAGTCCTAGCCAAACACTTATTTTGGGTTCTCAAGGACGGACAATTACCTCTAAAAATATCCATTTAAAAAAGAATAAAACATTTATTATTTTCAGAGTTTTGGTGGGGGGTAGTGGGTTTTTTTGGCAAATGTAACATCAGTGAAAAGTACATATTGAGAGGTCCAGTCAGTATCTTGTGGATACAAATAGAAGGAAGACCATCAGCAGCACATACTTTCAGCAAGAGTGAAATAAACTTGATGTTCCTGACAAGAAAGTATTTAATACACAAGCAAAAGATTAATTTTGTACACACTGATTGTTAACACTGCATAAACTGATGAAGTAACAAGATTCTCAGACAGGAAACAGGAACATAGTCTAGAGCACGTGTGCTAAAAAGATTCAAAGGATTAATTTAAAATAAATCCATTTTAAACCCACTGATTTTCATTGAGTTCAGAAAGCAGATGAAGTTATAGTTCTCAGAACATAGTGCAATCTCTAATAAAATGTATTACATTAGAGGTTATATTCTTAGGCACTCAGAACAAATGTTATTTTTCAGTTTCTATTACACAGCAGTTTGCTGAAGTATTACAAAGATTTCCCTCCCCAAGACAATTAACAGGACAAAGCAGAGATCGTAAGTGACCATAAAGAATTAACATCACAATACCATGGTATTTTTAGCACTAAAGTCACACTTAAAACATGGAGTGACACTGGCTTAAAATTTTGGTGCCAATGAAAACAGCTACTCTCAGTCCAATAAAGCCACTCTGAAGCACTTTAGTATCTACTCCATTAAATTTTTAATGCCAAATATTCCATTTCCTTATCTAAGGTTGAAATATGTTGCCTTAGCTTAATAAGGAACCTGCAGGTAAAAACAAACAAAAACAAAAAAAGAAAGCAAAACTATTAGGAATTCTTTAAATACGAGTGAGTATTTACAAGAAAATGGGAGAACACAAGGCCTTAAAGAAAATAACCTTCCCAAAAGTTCATCCAACTGCACTGAAAAAGATGCTCTTCAGCCTATGTTAAGTAGTGAGGGGGAGGTAGGGGCAGGGAAAGTCAACCATTTTATTTTTACATCTCCATATTGCTGTACCACTCTTTACTGTGAAGTATTCTTCACAGAGTTTGAGAGCTTATGTACTAAAAGCACAATGCAGATTTTGGCTGACACAGTTATTTCCTTGTAGGTTTTACTTGGCCACTAGCAGTTCGATTACAAGAGTATTTTCATCTTTCAAAGGTGGCTTTTATCTTCAGCAAACACTTGTCAATTCTGGAGCGGGCAGAACAGAAGAAGAAAAATCCACATGGACCACTGGGTTTTACTCTTAATATTAAGCTCATTAAAAATGTTTATCTAAGTACAAAAAAAAAAATTAACATTTGATAATGCTTTTACCTTTCCTGTCCAAAAACTTCTATGTATGTTTTCTTTCCAAGATGAAGACATTTGGTATGATGTCCACACAGCTCAACCGTATTTAAGTGTCTAAATCTTAGTGAATTTACTGGTCAAAAACCATTAAGTGTCTAACCTTGCACGAATGCCATCACAGAACTTGCAAAATGCTACAGTGCCATAAATACATTTCCTTAAATAGTATGCTTCTCTTGGGAGTTTTCAGTTTTCTTCAAAGTGCTTCCAGACAAGCTTCTTCTATAAGTTCCACCTGTAAGAGAAGAAAACAATTCTATAAATAAACCTAAACAGCAAAATTTGCTTTAGGATGAACACACCAATTTAAAAGTTAGCAGATGCTCTGAAATGGAAAAAAATGCCACAATTGCATGAAGTGGTTGCTGTGCGTTGCAACTTTAGCATGTGAAATCCTAAAGAGGAACTAAAAATTCAGCTGGTACTCTTGAAAAAGAATGGACAAACACACAGACAAATTGACAAATCACACCACACTGCAAAGCACTAGGAATGGAAAATGTTACACAGCCTCAGCACACCAGTAACAGATTTTGTTTACCCAGTAGCTTAAAATGGATGTGCAAGAGCTCAAATCAAAGCTTCAACTTCAACTATCAGCTGTGTATCTACTACTTTTTTTTTTTATGTGCCACTAAGCATAGTTTAAATAAACTTAACTGATGAAATGGAGTCTGCTGAGAACATGGACCTTGGAGACATGGAGAAGACATGCTACAACTTCAAATGATGCAGCCAGCAAGACACTGGGTAAGCTGAAACACTGTAGAGGTCTCTTCAGAAACACAGCAGTTTAGGGGGAAAAAAACCTGAACTTGAGAGTAGCAGTTAACACAAGCAACCAGCAATACTACATCACTAGGGTACTGCCCAGCTCAGGAATTCCACCTCATCCAGGAATTCTCAGCAACCCTGGTTAAAGTCAGCCACAAAACACCAATCTACTGCTTCCAAATGACAGAACAAACCTTTGCTGGAAGCAGTTAAACACTTTATCTGCTTTCTTCCTCTGCATCTGAAGATTTGAGTCAAATTCTCCAAAACTATAAACTTTTAATCAGAAATTTATTGACTGGAGGCACAAAAGTCCTAAATGCTGTTTATCTCTTCAGTTTCAGTAAATTAAGCTGCAATAATTTACTACTAGTCTGAAATATGTCATTGAGGTAAAGGTCTAACTACTACCTGTTTGCACATGAACAGCTTTTCATGACAGTGGACAAAACCTGATCTAGAACCACACTAAGGAAAAGTATCATAGTCTTTCAAGCAAGATCTGTTTATTTCTTGCAGTGCACATCAAACAAGCCTGGCTAGTTTCCCAGATGATTTACAAAATTGCTCTGTTGGACGAGACAGAGCATTAAAAGACATTCTGCAATATCATTTCTCTGCTATTAGAACATTTGTTTTCAGAAAGGGCAAAACTTTAATCCTAAGGGAGGTTCTACAACAAAAAGCTGCCATAGATGGACAATTTTTTTATAGCTTTACTATCTCCCTAGAGAACAGCTTATTTTTAGATTAAAGCAGTAATGGTTTAAATTTAAAGAACTTTTAGGCAATTACAGGGAACAGCTTTCTTATTTAGGAGAAGAAAGAACAAATTAGAAAACTGGACTAGAAAACATTTTCAGAGTGATTTCAAAATGGGCTTTTTTAAAAATCAAATTGCACTGGAATTTATTTGCATATATGTTCTTTTCTTTCTATTTCTCATGTTTAAAGAGAAGATAACTAGTCTGCCTACAGTTAAAAGCAAATTGTATTACAATCTGATGATGCTACGATTACAGATACATAAAAGAATTAAGCCACAGGACTAACAAAACAAGGAGGTTTGAGTCTTGCTGCATTTTTAAACAGACCAAATTTCCACTTGCACATTTACCTCTTCTGTTTGAAGTTAGAGTTTGAACTGGACTGAGCTGACAATACATTTTATCCTTCCTCTCAGCATAGAGAGAGTTCAGCACTGTGCACTTTGATCACTTTCTTCAAGTCCAGTACCTTTATTATGTCACCTCAGTACCTCTCTTCCCTAGAGGACAAGTCTGTATTTTGATTTACATTTGTGCAAAATCACCTTTCCCCTTCAAACTATCAATAGTATGTCATCAATTAGAAGCAAACCATATTAATTTACAGGAGATTTCTTCCCCAACATTGTGGACTGTCAAAAAAAAAAAAAAAATAGGCAAAGTTCTGCATTCCAAAACCATCCTAGACTTGTTTTTGACATGCTTAATGGGGTACCTCAAGCAATTCACTCAAGTTTAATGACTCAGAAGACAACCCCAATCACCTGGCTTAGTTAAATCCCTGTGATACAAGTAGTTTCATGTGTCAAAGCTTCACTGATCTCTCAGAGCTATCTAGTAAGCACTCATCTTATACAAGCACACAGGACAAAGCAGCAAGCATAACCAAACAGCACTGTAGTTATTCCAGTGATGCAACTGTCAGTTGCACTTGTTTGTTTTTGGGTAATAAAGACATAGCCACTAAATCTGAGCCAAAAATGAATATGCTGATATTCTGTGTCTTGGACTAGTGATGCCACCTCCACAAAGAAGTTTTTACTTCAACATCTACTCTAATTACAAAGTCGGAATAAACAATTATATAAGAATTTGGTGGATAAATAAGCCTTTACCAATTTATCATTAACTGAGTGATAAAATTCAATTTTTGCAGACTTCTGTAGAAAGTTTTGGCATTGAAAGATGAGTTTTCACACATAACTGATACTTTTTCCACTTCCTTTCTCTTTACGGGTTACCCTCACGTATTTCACAACGTGACACTTTCAGGAGGAGCTCCCAAGGTTTGATACCTGCAGTTCACTGTGATCTCCTCCTCTCCTGCACTTCCCGTTTCACAGGTGTGGCAGGTGCTTCACTGGGCTCCTGTTTCACAGGTGTGGCTGCCATATCACCATTGACACTCTCCACTCCACTCACAGACATCAAGCTTTTCCGTTCTTTGGAGTTTGATTTGTGCTCCACTTTTGTCACTCGGAACCTGAGGTAAGCAACAGAAAGATTCAGTGGTATTTCCCCAGAGAGCAGTTAGGTCATTGTCAGGACCAAGTGTATGGACAGGATCAAATTCCCAGGTGCCAAGAATCAGACATCAGAGCAGACACCCACATGGACCATTCTTCACTTCAGGGCAATCTTCCTTCCTACTACCTACAAATATTTTTAGTACTCACTATGGCTGAATCTCACTGTCTCAGGGAATTGTGTTTTAAAGCAGAACCCACCAATTGCATACCACTTCTCAGAACAGCAATTTTCAAAGACAACCACAACATAAGCCAGGAATTAAAAATCATTAAGAGAATGAAGTGGTTTCTACAGCTCACACTTACTTCAAAAATACCAAATTCAGAAACAGAGGGATTTATTAGTGGGCAATCCTTGTTTCTTTTTAGCCTGGATCAATGGAGCAATAGCTTTGGATTTATACCCACAGTACATATCCATTTTTTTACACAGTTCTTAAAAAAGGAAAATCACAAAGCAACCTCCCAGAAAAAACTTCAATCTAATATTAACAGGGTGATTTAAAAAAAAAATTTAAAAAGTCACTGATGCCATAAACAGAGTAGAATCAATGGATATCTGATCCAACACAGGCCACTGTAGCATTCCTAAGAGAAGCAGACACCAAAATGACCTAAGGCTTACCTTCCCACAGAAAGGACTGTAACTTCTCCAATACGACTTCTTCTCTGCTCTTTAGATTTATGAGTTGGCTTGATAAGGTGCCACCGTTTGTGACTGCAACGGGTACAAACATCCTGTTCTACCACACCTCCAACAGTATGTAAGTGATGAGCTTTGCAGTTGTGCTTGTATGGAACAGCACCCGGTGACAAAGGAGTCCCAGGACTCACTGGACTCCCAGGAGAGGTAGGAGATAAAGGGCTGTAAGAAAAGGTATAAAGGAAATTTAATGTTTACTGTAAAATCACATTTCTTAATAAAATCCTGTTTCTTAAAAAAGGAAAAAATAAAGGATAAAATATAACCTTCAGACATGTCTAATGAACAGTTAGTATTTTCAGGGACTGCTTATTTGTGTCTGTTGACTGTTTATTGTTTAAGGTTCCCTCTGATACCATGCTTTTGAGGTTAAAATCACTTTCAGAAATTAGTTCTGCTGCATTCACCTGTCTAAGGTAACTAACACAAAAGGCACAGATGTGGCAAGAAAAAAAATCAGGTTAAAATAGAACAGGGGCACAGATATGGCAAGAAAAAAAAAATCAGGTTAAAATAGAACAGGTTACATGAACATACACTGACGAAGACATGTAATAAGCTGATTACATTCAGACTTGGAGAACTGCAGAAAGTATTTCAGAATTGTTACAGTATCTCAAAGAACTCACAAAAGAAGAGCATAGTCCTACAACATTGCAAAAAGACAAAACTAAAATGTTTACCAATGGCAAGAAAAAAAAAATCAGGTTAAAATAGAACAGGTTACATGAACATACACTGACGAAGACATGTAATAAGCTGATTACATTCAGACTTGGAGAACTGCAGAAAGTATTTCAGAATTGTTACAGTATCTCAAAGAACTCACAAAAGAAGAGCATAGTCCTACAACATTGCAAAAAGACAAAACTAAAATGTTTACCATGAAAAAACATCAACAAATCAGTTTCAAAGAAAAATAAACTTTTAAGTACCTAGAAAGAAAAAGTAGTACAACTACCAAAAGGCATTTGAGACTGTCTAATCAAATCAGTCTAATTTCTTCTAAAACAGAAAAGCAGATAGCATAGGTAAAAAACAGGTGTACTTTTTTGAACTTGAGCTTCAATTTCAACGCTGTCTTGCAACACATCCTCCCAAAGCAAACTAGAGCTCATTAAAGGTGAAATAACTAGAGTAAGGTAGCACATCTTGTAAAAAATATTACAAAGACATAACAGAAAGTTATGTATCAGTAATTACTACAAAACTGGAAAGACATACCAAATGTGCTTATTCTTGTCCTGATAATATTCAGTGTACATTGGGTAATGGAAAAGAAGAATAGCTAAAGTTCCCATAAATATTGGGTCACCCAGAGTAAGTGTAGAGGACAAGAAATTAGGATGAGCAGAGGAGACCAAGGGTGTGAAAGACATTCACACATACACAAATCTTATTAAAAATACTGGATGTGTTGCAGTAAGGACAACACAATTTTCACTGTTTTAGCAGAAAACCTTTACAAACTCTGATGAAAAAGCAAATAGACAGATGAACATTCTTCAGAAAAAGATGATCATGAGCTGAACATGAATCATTACATTGCTTAAAAAGGACAAACTTCACAGCAGAAATAACAGGAGCATACCCTGTGAACCTAAAGTTACATTACTCAGCATTATTATGCTACAGCTGATCGTACCATGCAGGTTTAGAAATGTTATTTCAAGAAAAATATTAACAAACTGAAGATACCCCAAAGGAGAACCAAAAGAACAAATTAAAGAAGTAAAACACACCATAGAAGACTGGAGTTACTTAAATGCCTATTTTCAAAACAAAAATAATGAAGGACAC